AAAACTAAGAAAATAAATTATTTATTGATTGGTTTACCGAAGACTGCCTGATGTGAACAATAGTTTCATGTCCAGTTCCACCAAAGCATTTCATGTGTTTAAAACCATTGAACACACTTAACATTTAGCCATCACTGCTCTCAGAATCAATGTACTTCTTTCCTTTCTTTCGTTTCGGTTGAAGATCTTCAGTGTCACTGCTATCACTAATATTTATCACATTCTCTGCAATGTCAGATGAAGTTCCAGATTTTTTTGTGGCTTTTCTTGAGTTGTTACTTTTGACAGCTGAATTATTTTCTGTCTTTGACAAAGATTCCCTTAAAGAGGAAGCCTTCTGTGAGGGGCCTTTGCCATTACCCTCTTTCACTGCTGATGTATGTGGGGATTCAGTGGAGGAACTGGATTTTACCTTGACACCTCGAACATCCATTAAGACTTCACCATCATGTACCTCAATAGCTCGGGGTCCTGTGTAAAAAACAAAAACAAAAAAAAAAACAAAGACAAATTAACAATAATTATACAACAGTCATATATTCCTTATACAGTATTTAGGCAAGAGCTGGTACACAGTACAGTTAAGATCTTTAAAACTATTCACCTTTCTTTATGTAGCTCAAGGTTGAATATGCAGTGTAGTGGAAGTCCTCTCTTAAAAAACTGCTAATGAGTAAAAATGCTACAATTGCTTCAGCTTTCTCTTGGGAAATGGAAGGAGATTTTGCATTTGGCACTCTTAATGCAGTTGGTCCTTTGTTAAACCATGCCTCTAATAGCTTTTGACCTGGGAACAACAGTTCAAACACAGTTCAAATATTTCAGGTTCAATAATATCAGAACCAGAACTTGCAGAAAAACTAAAAATAACAACAACATTGCTCTCACTTGTAAGCTTAGTGTCTTTATCAGAAGCATGGTCAATTATTTTGTACAGTGATAAGCAATGCTTCTGTAAATTTATCTGGTTTACTTGAAAGGGACTTTTGCAATGGTCACACATCCCTTTGCATTCAGCACTCTCCCACACTTCATCAAAATGACTTGCAATCAAAGAACGCCGACAACTGTAACACAAAAATAGCAGTCTCCATCAAACATGTCACTAGACTTTTATTATTTTTACTACGATGACTATATTTGGTACAAACCTGCCAATATCTATACAGTATTCAACCATACCATACAAATTTTCAAGACCAAGGTGCTGAGAGAAAACTGTGATGCTAACTTTAAAAACATCAGGAAGACGGTAAAACACTATACAGTCTGCAGGCAATCCATCCCGCCCTGCTCGTCCACTTTCCTGAAAGAAGTTTACATTTTAGGAAACATTAAACATAAGTTAAAAAAAGGGAACAAATTGCTCAAATTAAGATTCACCTGGTAAAAATTTTCCATAGACTTTGAAAGGGATTGATGAAGAACAAACCTAACATCAGGTTTATCAATGCCAAGCCCAAAAGCAATAGTTGCCACAACAACTTGATACTTTCCATCCAACCAACCAGTGTGAGCTTTGCTACGCAATATTGGATCCATAGTTGCATGATAATAGACCGACTTTATTCCTCGATCCCTGATTCAGAAAATAGGCTTGTGAGTGTTTACCCCGTTTTAGGGTAGATGGCTTCTGCTTCCATGGTGGTACACAAGCACAGAAAGTTAAAATACCTTAATTGATTGCTAGTTTCTTCAGTGTCCTTGATTGTGGTAGTGTAGATGATTCCAGTTTTTCCTCTATATTTAATTTTTAACAGATCCTCAACCTCATCTAGATATTCCTTTTGAGATGATGGTTTTGGTCTTACCTAAAGAAAGGATACTTGTGTTGTACTATATGATTTGTATAGGTAATGTCCCAAATTAAGAAGTAAAAGAGACAGTACCTCATAAAATAGATTAGGGCGATTAAATGAAGATTTTAAAACTAAACATCCTTGTATTTGCAGGATTTTTTGGACATCCAATAATATTTTTGTAGTAGCAGTAGCAGTGAGCCCCAATAAAGGTACACCACGGAACATATTCTTTAACACACCAAGGTATTTGTAATCTGTCCAAAAGATTTAGGTCAGTGATTGGATTTTAGGTAAGTACCTAATACATAGCAAAATGGGTAAGAGCTTACCTGGGCGAAAATCATGACCCCACTGTGAACAACAATGAACTTCATCAATGGCTATACATGAGAGCCGTCCCATTTGATATGCCTGTTGTAATTTGTTCATAAACGTCTTACTTTTAGACATACGTTCAGGAGTAACATAGAGCAATTTCATAGGGGCTTTCTTATCTGTCATAGCCTTGAAATGAAGTACAAATTTTAATATCAGGTTAAAATATTTTACATTTTTAGTCTTCAACTTTTATTGGCTTACCATCATAGCTTTCTTATTCTCATCTTTTGGCGTAGACTGACTGAGCATGTAGGCGCAAATATTGTTTCTTTCCAGCGCCATTATTTGATCCTCCATTAATGCCACCAAAGGACAGACAACAAGGAAAAAGCCTGCAGTACAAAAATTCAAATTTTAATCAAATAAAACCACAGAGACATATGTTAATAACAAAATGGCAAATTTAATACCATCCGTTACAAGTGATGGCAGCTGATAACATAGACTTTTCCCTCCACCAGTTGGCATTAAAAGAATGGTATCTTCCTTTGAAAGCACAGCATTCATAGTTGCACGCTGGAAAGGTCGAAATTCATTGATCTTAAAAACTGTTTTGAGAGTACTCTCCAGCTTGTCTGACCAGGGAAATTCTAGGAAGAAAAATTGTTTTCTAAATTAAACCAAGGAAAAGTAAACAAGCTAATGTACAGCATCATTGTCCAAATACACTAGGGTACTCACCAGTGCCATTCCAATCTTTTGCAGAGACTCTTTCACTTTTTAATGAAAGAAGGCGGCCTTTGATGCTCTCTTTCCTTTGCTGCAAGTATTGTTGCCTGTTACGTAAATTCTCGATTTCTGAAGCAACTTGTGAAAGTTCATGGTCAATGGCCGCCAGTTCTTCTTCTGGAGACGCTGTTTACGAAAGTTGACATTAAGTGAGTAATAAATGAATTAAGTAAAATATATTACAGTATCAGACCAGAGAAAAGATGAGCCCCTACCTTGGTAAGCCGACTTTGAAGAACCCGCCATCGCTGTCACTTAGTTGAGTTATGGGGTTTGTCTTGAGAAACGGCCCACCTCTCTCAAAGATGGGTCCAGTGCATTTCTTTTTAGAAAATTGTTATTTTGGTTGAGCCTAGGTTAAGATTAATGCCATCAAACTAAACCTATAAACAAACAACAAACAAAACAAACAATAACGAGGGGGGGGGGAGCCTATCGTGGTACCAACATGTACAACAAAAACCAAGAACAAAGAATACAAATAAAAAATGTGTCCGTATCCGTTTTCGTGAACAAATATTTTAAAAAATATTGCTATTTGAGAGCTAAAACCAGATTCTGAAAAGTATAGAAGGAGATTCTTGAACTACGTGTGATAATTTGATGTGCAGATGGAGCCATGAGTAAAGTCACGCATTTCTTGAAATTCACGTGTTTTGCCAATAAATTTAATATAAAAGTGAGAAAATTTGAGAGCAACAAAATTTTAGTAAACTCTTTAACCCCTCAACAATTTTCAAAATCCACGTTTAATTTAACTTTAGCCCTCTTTCGGCTGTTAAAACACCCTTGCAGACATATTGATTCTAGTGTCGCATCAATGAAAGCTCACCTGGAAACTCGACTAAGCCAGCAGTGTGGTTGTCCAAAAGTTTTCGTTGTTCGACTATAACTTATATGGCGTCTGCAACCTGCAACTGTTACGATCTCTCTCCTCTCTCTGAAGAATATCTGAATATTGTGATGTAGTCGGTGTTTTGAAACTTGACAGATATTTCATCGAGAAGGCAATCATGAGTGATGTTCCGTGCATCACGTACATGGCACTATATATTCTATCCCTGCATGTTATTCAGAGCAATTCAAGGGCTTCGACAGGTTGGAGGTTAGATCCAGAGGAGGGAAAAATTGTTCAAACAACGATATATCCGAATGCATTTGGTCCTCAAAGTACAGAGGATCTCATTTTTGACATCATATCATCTACCGTTCATGTTGGAAACACATGGACGAAAACTGCATCTGGCAGTCTTTGCAAAGAATGTCATTTAACAAATACCTCTGAGATTGGGTAAGTTTTGCTTGTTGTTTTGTAAACCCACCTGTTCTCCTTTGATCTATCTTTGACTAGAGAGCTTTCTATTTTCACAGTTCAAACAGTGGTCCAAACAGAAGTAACAGTTCTACAAATTCTACCAGCCATTCCTCATCTCCATCTGGAAACAATAAGCGTCGTTGCAATGGAACTGTCACTGGCGGTTCCAAACCTAAACTGACAGCACCAGATGGAACCATAGTAAAAGTAAAGGAAGGCAAATCCAAATCTGGGGATAGTGAACAACTAGATTGTGGAAAGCCTGTGAATTTTACTTATTATGACAACCTATTGGGCATTTCAAATCGTCAATCGCATCCACATGTCCCAGAACTTCAAATGGAATTGATATTCAAAAAGAAAATGATTAAAGATCAAGATGTGGAAAACTTAGAGAGGAAGTTGAGGAAAGCAAAACGTGATGTGAGTTTTCTTACTTTGAAATTGTAAGTACCCTTTTCATTTGTACACTGGTTATAAAACATTTTGTTGTTCATTTCAGAAACCAAAATCTGTTAAGTTGTACAACCAGATAGGCAACTTTTGGCGCATTAAAGGTGACACACAGAAGTCCATTGAATGCTTCAGAAGGGCCCTGGCTGTTTCACCAGACAATGCTGAGGTTATTATTCTGTCAATTCTTTCCATTTGATTATTGATGGAGTAAGAGTATTTTAATCCTTGAATGATATGTTGCAGGTGTTACTGAACTTAGCAAGAGTTATGCTGAATCTTCAGTATTGGGATGATGCACTGAAATTGACTGTTTGGTCACTTGATAAAACTGATAAAAATGCCTGGCAGCAGCACTTCACGCTAGGTGAAATATTTAAGGTAAAATCTGTTTAAAATTGCATGTGATATCATTCAGTGTAATTTTGTGTCATGACGTTTTGCAATGTCCTTACTGTTCTTCTTTTTATCTTCAGGCTATAGGTCAATACCGCAATGCTTCAGCTCATTTGAGGCATGCTGTTGAGTTGAAGCCTGATTTTGAACCTGCTATTGAGCTGTTGCGTAGCATTGAGGAAGCCACAAATGTGCATTACTACACATTATTCATTATCTTTTCATTGGTAGGGGAAATCTTCATGGTGAACGCAACTGCAACCTATTATCTTAATTTGTTCTAAATCTTATTTTCTATTTTTCCAGGCATTGGCTGTTCTTTTAGTCATTCTTGTAGGCTGCTCCAGTGATTCGTCAGATGTTGATGATTCTGATGCCAAAGCACAACGTCATTTTAACAAACCGCTAAGTATGCGGTCACTTAAACTTGGAATCCAATCACGCAGCTTCCGTTCCAAAGGATCATCCAAGAATACCAGTCATAATTAGATCCCACACTTCAGTCGAACAATTTTGTTTTAATTTTAGTCCATTACTGCATATTCTTGTAGTAGCCATCTCTTTTTTGTTGTTTCTTCACCTCTCTTAAGACTGGAATTCTTTGCAAGATTCAACTTTTGTTGTGATTCCTTTGTGTTCAAGTTTTATTAGTCTCACCTTGTGATAACGTAATTGTATGTTCAATATAGTTGTAATTACTTTGGTTGTAGTTTATGTACTACGTACATAGTTTTAAACTGAGAGCCCTCAGTACAAAGTTGTATTCTTGTCATGTGGAAAGTGGTGTGACCAACTTCCATGATATAATTTTTACATTGAATGAGATCTTACATTTCTGAAGTCATATTATTTACTAATTTACAGCATGAAAGATGAAATCAAGTCCCAGCTGTTGCAGTACCTGTATTTTTACAGTATCTCTCATTTTGTTCTTTAACAAAACTAAAGTGAGTGAAGGGGAATGAGTATTGTGTTTTCCTTAATGACACTTTTTCATTGTAAATTAATACAAATGTATTAGTTTTTACTTTTTAGGCATATAAATTTCTGCAATTAAAACTCAAAAGT